CACCACGTGGACATCGGTCACGTTACGCTGGCCGATATCTCTGAAAATGGAATTATTCTTACGTAGTCGCGTAACCTCGTAACGACAAAACCTGTCGTGACAAAAACCCCGTGGATGCCACAATGACCGACACGTGAACATCGCTTTTGGATCGCTATGCTCATCTCCATGGTGTGAGGCTGGCCGGATTTTTATTTAGCGTTCTTTCCTTTTTCCCTTTAATATTCTCTATTATTGTCCTCTCTATTACGTTCTAGCCGTGATCTAACGTGCTGTCACGCTCACGTAGTTACCGAGAGGCTAGAATTCGAGTGGACCTTGTAATACCAGACAGATAGTAAATCAGATTTATGAGAAATTTAAATACACATACCGCGCAGTGAAATATAATATAGTGTTTGTTACAATATTTAGCACTGCAAACGAATCCAGCATTGAACGTCTATCTATTTCTATCATATTTTTCAACCGATATTTCGAGAAAAGTTTCACTTGCTAGAAAATTACAAATTACCTAAACTCGTTATTATTTTACTGACACTTTCCCCGTTTTCTTCCTCTCATTTCTCAATTATAGAGCAACGCGAGTTACAACTGGAAATGATATCGCCCCAGGAGGGGGAGCGAGTATGTCGAAACAGGATCGCGTCGAGAGAAATGCTCGATTGCGTTCACGACAAGCGGAGCAAAGAACGATATATCACATACGGCGTAGCTAAGACGATAATTATGTGCTGGAAGCGTTGCCATTATCTAACCATAACTACTCCCACCTAGATTCCGTGCACAATGCGTCTGGACGGGGACCTTTAACAGAGTTATCGTTGCCTAACGCAACAGCTGCCCCGACAGTGTTGTAACCCGGTGCAACGAGCTGAATTCTCGTTAACGGTAAATTACAAAACAACAAGTTACTCAGCTCTGATGACGTTCGAGATTTAGGATTAATTCGCTTGTGCCCGATGCATCCTAACGGGCTGGAGATCGTTCAATTTATAACGATGAACGAAAGATGCTTTTAAACATGGTTACGTGCTTGTTCGTGTGTATAGAATGTAAGCAAATATAATAATATTTGACTCTCGTTCGTCCCTCGTGTTAATTTTTTCTTATAATTAAATATCGTACTATGCCTAGGCATTTCTAATATATAAGATATATAATGTGCAACATTTCGCGTCAGTAGTATGAACGAGGAGGAAGTGAATAAGTCGAAAATGAAGAATAAAATTTTTTTTGCAAGATGCTCTGTTTTGTTTTTTTTTCTTTTTTTTCTTTGAGGAAATCGAATTTATCATCAAATATATTTGAATTTGGCCTTTCAATTGTCTCCCCACAACCAGCGACCTTTGATTCGAGTTCAAATGATTGAATTCATCAGACAAGAGATAATTTGAACTGGGAATGTCGATGAAAATGGAGCTGATGTATGTAAGTTTCATTCATTTCATAGTTTATGAATACTCATAAATAAATCACTCGCAAGCTCATAAATAAACAAATTACACGCTCTGCTCTAAATTAAAAATAAACTAACATTAAATGTTCCATGCAAATCGAATTCTAATGTTATGCTTGCGCGTTACTTTCATTCACTAGCGCGCCACTTCTATCGCTCGCGTAACAAGGTTGTTTTAATCCATAAATAATTAAAAATCCAACAATGCGTGGTAATACAGCTTGTTAACTCATTAACGAGCGCATTTTCCGTTCCATCTTTCTGTTTCCGTCTTCCGTTATCGTTATATCGCCAACAGATATAAATTATACAGATATTTATCAACGCAACTGTTTATCGTCTACAAATATTTACATAAATTCAACCATTCGATGGAAACAATGACGTATACACATCGCAGGCGTATGCATTATTTCCCGTAGATATTTATACATAATTTATGGGAGCTGATCGCACGTGTTCGACTATGTAAGTAGAATCTTCTACATCTCTATAGCCTACATCCCATTATCCGAACATTCTACTGTTTGCTGTCCAAACAGAATATTCACTAACGATGGATGTGAATATATCAAACTATTTTATATGTATTATTATAAATAATTATAATTATAATTAATATAATTAGTGTATTATTATAAATAATTATAATTGTAATTAATATAATTAATGTATTATTATAAATAATTATAATTGTAATTAATATAATTAATGTATTATTATAAATAATTATAATTATAATTATAATATATTATGTATATGTAATATATGTATTATAATGTATTATGTGATATATGTATATATGTATGTATACATATGTATATATGTAATTATAATTATAATTATTTATAATTAAATCAAACTATTTTATATGTATTATTATAAATAATTGAACTATTCTTATATCAAACTATTTTATATGTATTATTATAAATAATTATAATAATTATAATTATTTATAATTATTTATAATTGCGAAAAGAACTGACTAAAATATAAGATCAACTTTATTAAAAAAACAATGTATTACGAATTTATCTGTATCATTTAGATGTACCATTTGCAAATAAATGAGCAGAACAATTTTCAGTGCGAACCACTATATTTACGAACGCAGAAAGGAAAAGAAACATAAAAGAATATATTGTTTCGTGATTTCTCGCTGGGTGCAACGGGTAATGCGAACGCGGTATATATCCAGTAAAGTGGCGAGAAGCTATTATGTCACGACTCGTAGTTGCAGTGGCAAGGTAGAGGCAGGCCGTGAACCTAAGTGCAGCCGGCACGTTGCATGGTCGCACGTGACTGGTTCTGCGAGCGTAGTTCATTCTACTTACGTTCCGTCCCTCGTCGCGCACGATTGTTATTTCATACCACCGTTTCATCCCATTGATTTTTTCGCGGCTTAGAAACAATTGCTAAAACGCTAACTCCCGTTTAAATATGGATTCAAGATGACTAAACCTGAATTTCCTGTATGCAGAAGAAGAAAAAGAATACACAAGAACGTTTCGCAATAATTAACGTTAATGTAAACAATTTCTCAAAGTTACGAGTATCTTTTTTTGCGATTCGGTTTCATTCCAATATTTTACAAAGAAAAATTGATCGAATATGGTTGAACATGATCGGGATCGTAAGCAAAAATCTATCGTACATACGACGAAAACCTATTTATCGATGTTGCTTTAGGAAAGCTCATTCTAATAGGAAATTATTGATTTATAATCTAATATTGTGCTTGATTTAATAATAACTGTTTAAATTCTTTGGATTTTCAATTTTTTTATATCGAGTTGTTCCTTCTCAGATATACCTAAATTAATACTCAAAAATCTTCAATTGAAAATTCCTCTACCTACATGTACCTATTATAATTGCGATTGTTTGTACTTTAAAATTCATCGCAAAGGCATCGAATTAATTTCTGCAAATTTTTTTTTTTTACCTTTTCTACATAATTTGTTTTAATATTGAAACACACAAATAGAAACTGATACGGTCTCACTCCGCACAACCGCAACCAAATCTCGCGTATTAATTAGCACAACAGACAAGTAAACAAGTACGTAAAATGTACGTACATACATATTTCATAAGGCGCGTCTACGATAATTAAATAATCTTATTTAAATATCAATGAATTGTCCATCAAGCTGGATCAGTATCTCGCCACCGGCCAAGTCGAATTCCGCTCGTCTCCTCTTCCTCTCGCAATAACATCGAGCGCGACGATTAAACGTTCGGCACGGCTGAATACGAAGCAGGAAAAGTTGGGGCTAACTGCTTGATCCCATCCGAGGGAACCGCAAAGTCTTCGACCCTTAAATCCAATTATTAACAGCCCACCCTCCAGTTTCGAGCGTGATAAATAATCGCGTGCCGCGCCCTCGTGAGATTAAACGCCGTCAGAATCTGTTTCGTATTTGTTTTGTAGCACGGGACACGGTTTCTATCCGGGTGTATACACGAAACGCCGAGCTTTTAACGTTCGAGTTCGTTTCAATTTCACGCGATGGATCCCCGTTCCGCTCCGTTGTTTCGCAATGGAAGCTTCCTTCGTCCATCGAGAGTCTCTCGGGGTTAATAACGGAAGATCGAAAAAGGGAAAGAAATTCGAACGAACGTCGTCAGAGAGAATGTGTTTCACTTTCTTTTTCTTTCTTTTTTTTTTTTTCTTTTTGGCGTTTGTTTAATAGATATTTATATTCTCCTGTCTTTGGACAATACCAAAGAAAAAGCAATAGTAGAAGACAGTAGAAAGCTCTTTTTATTTTTCACACTGTTGTACCTGTTATTTTTTGCTTTACTTCGAACATTCTACTTTTACTTTTACTTATAGTTCCTACAAATAGATGAGCAAAAGGCAAATTAGATTCATAAGACGTAGAGGATAACGATTAGTTATAAGAGTAGAAAATAAGAAAAATGCAGACCCATTGTAAACCGGAAGCCATCATAAGCCGTCTAGGCAAGGATTATATATATATAAATAAAATAAATAATAATATTCTCCTGTCTTTAAAAAATAAGATTGTCTCTCCTTTCGTTAAAGATCCGAAAAGAAAGACCCGTTTTAAAATCTGCGCAAATTTCCTGACCTCTTGAAGATTGCAATGGAAACGCGATCTTGCCATTATTTAATTTAACAATTTATGCTTATCTCTTTTCGAGGATTGACAAAGAAAGAAATAATTTCCACTAAGTTTCCCTCAACTTTCAATGCTCGCGGTTCACCAGTTCACCCCTAATTGCAGGAAAGAGCGCCGTTGGTCGCGTGGCACACGTGCACGCAATTAGTCTAACATCAGGCAGATATATCATTCAAACTGGATGGAAACTTATGGGAGAAGCTAAGCTGAGCTTCAAATTTATTGTTACGCAATATCTCGTAATATTTCTATTGAAATATATCTGAAATTATCTCCGTTTTGTGACCTTTAATTAAATTTCTACATTCACAAAAGAATAAAACACTTCACATTCTATTTCGGGTTATTGCTAAAAATTAATACACATAAAAATGATTTTCGTCAGTATTTTTTATTGTTCTTACGACTTGCAATACTCTATAATTCTCTCTTTGAAAGAAATATACTTTTACACCTTCATCTTATCAACCTTAGTCTGTTACATTCGTAAAATATCAATTCGTAAAACAACAAAACACAAACACAAATCTTATGTTCACTAATATGCATAAAAATCTCGCGTAAAATCTCGGAGAACAATTGGGTTAATAAATAAATTATTTTGTAGATTTATTATCAAGAAATGGTAAAATATGGAATAACGAAAGGAATGACGGATTCATGGATAGCGAAACGAACGAATGAAATGACGATTCGAATTACGCTCTGGTTTTTTGCTTTCGCGATTTCTTTGAATGTTTGTTCGATTGTTTATTCGACGCACAACTACAGTATTCTCCACTGCTGCTGTACGAATCCTCCTCACTACAATCAGAGTCCGAACACGTGCTCGATGTTGATGAATATTTTACATTTGACGAATATTCTAAAACAATCACAATTTTCCTATCAATCTTAAAGAAAAGTGAGCTAAAAATATAAAATTTTCTATTATCTTTCCTGTCGAAAATTTTCTATAAAGATACAGATTACCTCTGCGAATTTATTTATTTATTTCACAATTTCTAAATTTATTTCCTCCGAAATAGAACATTATTCTAGTTAAACGAGAGTTTAACTTGTTCTACTCAAAAAAAAGTAAAAATTGTGGCAAAATTTTATAATTCTAGTTTACATGTATATATAATTCTATTTTCATGAAAATATTTATACTTTCTAAAGGGATAAACTTGGAAAAATAAACTACTTTTCTTAAAAACTTAACAAATTGTTAATAAAATAAAACAAATATATAAAAATCACGATTTATTCTCCTATTTTTTATTCTATTCTGTATTCTATTATATTATTCTTCTCTTTTCTTTTTATTTTTTACTCTGTATTCTACCTCTGTATTTTCTATGTTTATCCTACTTTCCTTAAGTAATAATAATTCGAAAAATACTGCCTAAAAACATCTGATTCTCCAGAATTCCTAATAATCAAACACAAGGTGCAACAAAGTCAAAATTTACGTTACAAACTTAACTAAAGAAATAGGAAAGAAATGATTCAAATGTCCAAAGTTTGACAAGTAACCTTTATCTATAAAAACTGGCAGTTTCGTTCGATTCCTGTTCGATAATTGAAATCTCACCTTTGCGACGTTCAGAAGTTTCTTTCTTCACAGGCTTGCGATCGAATGACGATTTAGCGGATCGTTTATCATGTTTCTTTGATCTTCCTTTATCAGCTCGTCTTTTCGATACCTTCTGATCATTCCAATCACATTTCTTTGGATGGCAGCAGTGATTTTTGCAAATGCAACAAAAGAAATTGCAGGTTTCTGACGATGAGTTAGAGTCGAAACTGGAGGTCGAGGTTACTGTGCTATCAGAATAATCATCATCACTCTCACAACAACAAGCACTTGATCTCGACTTCCTCGCATTTTTCTTCGTGAAACTTGATTTCCTGCAACAACTATTTTACAACTTATCGCCTTTTATCGCTTGATTTATGGCACCGTTAAATTATTAACATTACATAGACTCTTCTCCTTTATTCCCTGAGCGAAATTCTACTCACGAATGTCCCTGCAGATAAATTTCTATTCTTTCCAGGAAACCTTTCAGAAATTCGATTCAAACATAACAGAAATTTCATTGAGTAAGAGAAGAAGATTTTTAAAAGAACTGCTGTATTAAATAACATAATATATATTATTTAATATGTTACATATTACACTACTCAAGTATAATTCGTACTATATGACAACAATTTCAGATATCTAATTTTATCTCACGTTTTATATTTTCTCTGACAGATGGAATAAAATTAAATCAAACTGAGAATGTCCCATGATACTAATTGAAATTTGTCCACTTATCACACTAAATTAAAGAAGAACATTGTCCTCGTACTGTGCTGACCTTCATTATTTCACTTTAATTAAGAGCATGCTGTGTTCAATTATTTCGATAATTTAACAAGTATGTATATAAAAGATTTGATAGAAAAAAAATTTGCTTATTGAGTTGTGTGAATAGTTTTCAAAGTTTCTATATTTTGAACGTCACGTTAATGATAACTGTCATTCTTTACATAAACAGATTCTCTGTTGCTATCTTGTGGATAAAAAATTTGAAGGGCATAACATTTACTATTGAAAGATCTAATCAAAAATGTTTGTCAAATGTTTCAAACATTGAATATGAAAAATATATTTAAAAGTTATTCACGGACAAAGTTATCATACACTATTTTTAACATAAACATGTAAATATTTAAAAATTATTCGCGTGACAACAGAAAATGTATTAAATTTTAAATATCTAAAATAGAAGAAAATAATTTTATTTATAAAAATATTACAAATATTTTATGGATCTGTATTAATTTTAATTAAGATAATTAATTAATTTTAATATTAATTAAGAGTAGTTTCTAAAATATCGACAATGTTTCAATTCCCGTATCTACAGTATAATAAAACATGTTTTAATTGTTATTATTATAATAAAAACACGTAAATTCGTGATTTCTTTTGTTCTGACTTTTTCGTTCTCGAGTAAACGAATGTATTTTTTTCCGAATAACTAACTAATAAATGAATTAGTGTATGTAACTGAGTGAGTATAAGCTGCTTATTAGATGTATTTAAAAAACTTTAACAAACTCCGATCTTATTTATTAAATAATATATTTATTCTAAAACAATTATAAAACGAAAAGAATAAGAATGTTAAATGTTTAATTATTTAATATTTCTCACCTCATTTTATTTCTACTGCAGTTATACCACCAGTATTGATAAATTCAACGTTGTTCAATGCTGTTATATTTAGTATTATTGTCCAGCAGATAATACTAATATTATTATAATATTAATATATCGATGTTAATTAGATATTAATAAATATTAAACGACGACGCTACTTCTATCCGTTCCGATACCCGAATGATTTCCGTTGCGAACTGTTTTGATTCTTGTATAATTCACAATACACGCTCTCACCTTCCTGAAGTCCCTCGTATTTCTCCTATTACGTTTAATTTAACAGCACTGTGTTCAAATTTCGAATAGAGCTCCTCCGAATTAATAAGAAGACAATTAATATAATATTATATATATAATATATATATATTAGAAATTTATTAATTAACGTAGTAATTGAATATTAATATTTTGACTAATGGAATTTTCGGATAATAGCAATATGCTTCATATTGAAGCATTTAATTTCCCTATTGGAGATTAAAAATAAGTTTCATTTCGTTCAGTTCGTTAATCATCATTTCATCGAACTCTGAGTGAAAAAAATCCAAGATATTCTACGCATTTTTCGTCATTTATCCCTGATGCATCGCAACCTGTTTCAACGAGCACAGGCAGCCTAAAAACAATTAAACTCTCTGCTCCTGGCGATCGAACCGAGATATCGCGAGATAATGGAAGATCGATGAAAAACTCGCGATTGTTTGGCAAACGTGCTCGTGACTCGTTATGCAACTCCGAACGTTGACGCAACTCCGGATTGGATCGCGCGTTGCACTCGATCTCTGGGAAATCTTGAATTACACGCTTTTTTTATGTGTACTCGAAATGGCGATCGCTCTACCTCGTTAATTTTTCTCTGTTTCCACCGATAACCGGCACGGCCTTGCTTCACCGTTTCATAACTTACAATTAGAAAACATAATTTGAGACAGAGTTGTGATCAGACAGCCACTTTGCATATTACGAGCAGGGTTAGGTGAAAAATTTCGTAACGATTGAATATCTGCTGACTGAATCGTTAATCGCAGGCAACGATTGAATTTACTTTGGATTGGGATTGTCAGTTTAGATTGGGATTAGAGTTCTAATCTCTTGAGTCGTTTAATATTCAAGCTAAGGTGGCGAAGGAAAATTGTAGAGATGTCGGTCTAATGAAGGAGACTTTAATCTTCAAAATGGTAACCGTGAAAAAATGTTTTCAAGGATATTTGGACTATAAAAACATTTTTGAAGGAAAAACAGTGAGTTAGTGAACTAAAGATTTTTCGCCTCCAAATGAATTGTTACGTAATTTCTTTTTTTTTTTTTTAATGAAGTTAAATTTTTTACAAAGTTAATAGCTTAAAATATCCACAATTTTTCATCGTGGAGAAAGGTAAATAGAACACAAAGAAAGAAATAAATAGTACAACTTAAAATCCACGGTAATATTCATAATGAAACCCTGCTAGATTCCCTAAATAGTGATAGATAAAAACAAACAAGACGTAAAGGTTTATATAATCACATTACGAACGAATCATATAAGTAGGAAACAAAATTGAGGTATTGCACTATAGTTCAATAGCTGAGGGGTGACTCGACCTCTTTAAGACACGTAAACGAGGGTGTTGGAAGAGGGGAATGATGTGACTCAGCCTCGACGATGACGTAAGAAAGTATGAAACTAAAGGTGAAACTGGGCGAATAACTTACAAACATGTATGTATCTATAAAAGCGTTACCCTATTTCGAACTTCACATAACCCGTTCTTTACTGAATTCATTACTGCATGAGAAATGAAAATTTCTTCCTTTTTATCAAGAGTGGTTAATAAATTTAGATTCCTTTTTATAGTAAATACTAGTAATCCTTAGTAGGATAACAACGATCATAATTATAACGCTTTCGTAGTCTAAATCAGCTTCCTAACGAGCAGACCAGATTCACGTAAGAGTATCTGTACCTTTGAGAATGAGTTCGATGTGAAAGGAAACCGATCCTTCTTCGTGTGACATTTTGCCTGCCGCTGCTTTCATTTACTATACTAACACGTTGCTTACCCTCGCTCCCATTTCCTAACCAAGTACACAAACATTAGGACATTCAAATCTAAAAGTTTGAAAAAAATCAATCTCTTTCTTCCCACGTAAGAAGATACATTCTAATTATTTTCTAATCATTGCCATTTCAATTTGTGATACATTCGTCACTCACAAACGACATGTTAATTTAACAGAAAATTCAATGGAAATTTATACTGAACTATTGTATGTATTGTTATATGTTTTATATATTCTTTTATAGTTGCAAAAAGAAACTTACTAAAGTATTTAGATCTTGCTGAAATAAACAGTGATGGAGCATACGAAAGTTCTGTTCTATGAACTTTTATGTGTTCCATTAAATATTGATTTTATTTAAAGTTACGCGTGTGCAAGATTACTGAGCGTGACAAGTGGATCTCCAGACGAAAGTTGAATTAATATTATCTGTTCTTTAAACTTTGAAAATTTTCAAGTCGACTAATTGGCTGATTATATTTTTCAGAGGCGATGGACTTAACGCAAGTGGTAATGAAAGCTGGAAGAGACAGATACAGAACTAACGATCAGTTCTAAACGTGAGAAATACCCTCGGGCGAAGCTCAGCATGACTCAACTGTATGATCATAGCAGAGGACTGAATTTCACGAGCCATATATATAGAAATAAATTTGCGATAAGCTCACAAAGCATAATTAGAAAATCTCAATCTGGAGAGACACGCCGAATCCTTTTTTAATGCAAAGAGAGAAGAGCAAAGCATCCCGAAATCCCATTTTGGAAACACTGGATGATTTAGATTTAGAATTTTCGTGTTTAATTTCCTTGTGACGCATCGCGAAAAACAATAAGAATTGTTCGACTGTAGACTCTAGTTATTATTTGCATTTTAATCACTATTTACCCTGGCCTTTCAAACGAAAAACATCACATCGACACGATGGATACACCAAAGTCTAAGAGAAGCTCGATGTCACCAAACGGAGAAACTCGTGAAGACTCGCCATGAGTCTTCTACCGAACGTGAACGTGTTTTTCCCCCGATGGAGAACAGTGAACGAACGCGTGTGGCAATGCACTCTGTCGCCGGCGAACAGGTACAATGGAATTAGCTGGGACAGATTAACAGGACAATGGAAATATCGGGTGTACGAGCCATTGTCGCATCGATCTTCAATCTGTCACGCGGCGTGGACGTCAAAACGCGGGACAAAGCGATCGCGTCTCTGCTGGTGACAGCCACGGTCGTATGAATGGACGACGCGTGCCATTATAATGGACATTCCAGGCCGACATTCCGGCGAAGTGTCTGGAACAAGTGGAGGCAACGTGGAGAGCGAGGACACTCTCGTTCGTAGAACTGTCTCCTCTTCCGTTCGATCCGTCTACTTCTTCCACCCTGATGTTGTAATAAATCGAATAACTGTGCGCAAGGGCAACGAATCGAGATCGATTTTGGATCGCGTGCGTCGAAGTTAGAAATTCCTGTTACATGCGTAGGTACGCGAGTGATCGAATGAAACTGCTAATTTTTATAAATGAAGATTTATTTGTTAGGTTTCCAATTTTTAGACGCTTCAACTACGGGCAACGTAGACAAAGGAAAATTTACGGGGAACGTTGAATAACGTCGTTAAGTGATTGCAATGTTTAGTTATCTGGTATCTACGTATATATATATATATATATATATATATATACGTTATTATATTATATTAATATTATATAATTTATAATATTATATTATATATATATATTACGTTTAAAAAAAAATATATTATATTATAAAAATATATATATATATTATAAATATATATTATATTATAAAATTATTTATATTATTATATTATAATAAAATAAATATTATATTATAAAAATATATATATATATTATAAAATGACGTTTAAAAAAAATATATATTACGTATATATATATTACGTTTAAAAAAACGCGTAGAAAATCTAAAATTAAATTAATTTATCGATATACTTTTTCTGCTACAGTGCTCCTCTAAAAGGACTCTTTAACGAGCGTGTTAGTAGCGTCAATAAACAGCGAACGTATGTTCAACTCCGACTTCAGCCAAGCTCAACAATCCTTTCATTTACATCTTCGTTTACGCACTAACAATCCGAGATTCATCGATATTCGGGGAAGTACAATTTCTCAAAAGCTACGAAGACGACGACGACTTTCGATTGAAAGACGTCGTCACAGAGTTCAATTAACGAGAGAAGCGTTTTTTCGTCTGGAAATTTTTCGACTCGCACCGAGCCGAATCCACGGATAGATTCCTGGTGAACGGAGTCCTTTGAGAACTGGTCGAGCATCAAAGGACTTTCTTATGCGTTTACGCGGAACTCGGTAATAGGAAGATGACGTTTAGATGAGACGGGCGGCGCGCAACAAGAAAGCACGAAGCTATCTTTATCTCGAGCGAGATGCACTCGCATCCGGTCATTCGTCTCGCTCTTTCTCTATCGTTTTCTATCCTCCCATCACCATGGGATCGAGTACCTCACAAATAATTTTGAATCTTTAGTCATTAGAATCGAACTCTAATACAATAGAACCTCTCGCGTTAATAAATAGAAGTAGTAATAAAGAGACAAAAGTGTTTGATTGATTGCAATTTCCGACTGATAGAATCAATCAATTTCCTGATATTAAATCGTACGTAGACGAAGCTGTTAATTTTGAAAAATTAATATTTCCTAGCAACAACTGAAAAATACAACAAGTTCAAAATGAAACAAGTTTATTTGCATTTGTGTTTGCATACATCTCGTGTGTTAACAGATTCGAGTAGACCTCGTCTGTGACCTCGATCTGTGATAGATCTACGTGTTTGCGCGATCGGTAATACGGTTCCTTCCGTGTATAAAAGTTCATTTTTGTACCATCTATCGGCGTATATGAGAATCTTTCAAGTTACAGTTCAATGGTAATACCACGAAGTCTGTGGATCTTATCTGTGACGAAATACAGGAATAGACCAAGCATTTTATCAGCACAGACAAGGTACATGAATTCATATACCTCGTCTGTAGTTTAAACAAGATGAGTCGAGAAACTACATCAAGTAGTGAATGCTAGAAATATTAAATTTTTGAAATCTATTACAGTGTTGTCAATTGTCAATACCGAAATGTAAAGTAACTAACCGAAATTATTCTACCATGTAGATCACATCTAACCATGTTTTACATAGTAGTACGGGATGCTGAAAAAGAAAACTTAACACAGTAACTAGAAGAGCTACTAACAAAGAAAATTTAAAACAATAGCCAGAAGAGCCATTGAAAAAAGAAATCGCGATGATATGTCGCAACATTAACTTTAAAATCAAATTCAATGAAAATTATTATCAACAATACAAAAGCTACTGTGCGAGAAAAGAAACTACTTTAAATATTATGAAAGTCTAAAATTAATTAAAAACAATGATTCTATAATATAATTTAAAACAATAGAAAGCAAGATGAATTTACATAGCAAACAACTATGAATAAAACAACTATGAAAATTAACAATCAAAATTGCAAAAAACAAAAACCGTCAATCAATTTCTCGCAACACTAATAAACAGGCGCGAAACTATCTCGCAACTCTAATTCAACCCGTAATCAATTTCTCGCAACACTAATAAGAAAAACTGCGATTTGCCCAAAACGATGATGAGGAAGAAAAAGAAAAATACAACTACAAATACTAAAGGAGCATAGTGACAAAGTAGTAACGAGAATGATCTCCCATTCTCTGGGACCATTTAAATGATCCAGAAGATGAGAAGCCATTTGTTGTGACCCTCTTCGTGGCAGTTTGCCGGGCCTCTTCTTTCTTCGAGCGCAATGCCCGCTGAAACTTACATCTAGCTCGAGTCTTTCTAATCCCAAACCAAAAACTAACTTGAAGCTGACTCCAATACACATGGACGACCATCGATCATAGTCATCGCTGTCCGTTCGCACGTGGGTGCTCGAGCAATACCTACATAAACGTTCGTTTCGGGACCTACTCGCGACCTATCCGCGACCACGACCGCGATACTAAATTCAAAAAATCGAAGAGTAAAACCAGAAACAAGTGGCATGCTCCACTTGTACCAATTTCACTGTCGATTTTTCAAATTAGATTTCCTGAAACAGGTTGGACACGCGAAAGGGAGACACGCGACCAGAGACCAGTGCCAACCTGCCCGGGCCTACCTACTTATAATTAAACACATTCACACCAGAAAGTATGCTACCTATCCTAACAGTCGCCCTATATTTAAAAAATGGCNACCTAAACTAGAGAGGACATCCCGGGACGCCTCCGACACCCGAGCTTAACACACAACTTTCACACTCTAATTTACGTACCATTCTCCTGAAATCGACTGACAATGGCTAGCGAACATTGCGTAAAATGTGATTAATACACGTTTATATTTACAGTTATATGTGACATATTAATAACTGAGAAAAAAATATATGTAACTTTTATAGAAATTACAAGTGCAAGTTAACTCGTAATTATTATATTGTATCATATTATATAATTGATAGTATAATTAATAATACACAATTACAGTGTATTTAATAAGTATTATTATAATAAATTCGTATTTCAAATATTTTAAATATTCATAATGAAAGAAACAATAGAAACGACGCACTTCTACATCCTAACCACACATGCATGCGGAAAATACGTCGTGCACGATACGCTAACACATTGTCAGTCGCTGGGAAATTTTTTATAAAATTACAAACTATGGTCATCGTGCCCAATGTCTTTCACCCACCCAAGTAGCACCTGGGCACGTGAGTGAGATCCTGACAATCAACACGGAAGGGGTTAAACCTAAAAATCCTGAACTAAAAAAAATAGTTAGTTTGTGTAATTTATATCTAACGGACTATTACATTACGTTATTTTTGTAATGACTCTACTCTTTCAGAAATTATTCAAATATTTTGCAAGAGAATAAAGACAAAGAATTGAATTTATTAAAAAAAATATGAAATCTAACAATTGATTAAAACAATCAAAATGAAACAATTGACTCTAAATTAAATATTAACAGAAACAATCTCAGGCGACTTCTTCATCAAAGCATATTTTCGAAAATGTCAAGAACAGTGTCAAAACTTGTTGCTTTGATTCAAAAATCGGCCTGTCGCGAAGTATCTTCTTGCACATAAAATTTCATACATTTTTCTACGGAAAGAATTCTAACCTATTATATTTCAAATTCTACTGAACTTTATAATTATAAAACTCAATTCATTAAATCATTTAATACTACTATAAACAGGAAGATGAAATTGAAAATTATTATAACAATTATTAATTATTGTAACAAAACATATCACCAGTATCAATATGTAATAACTGCATCTTTCATAGCAATGAAGTCGGAGGGTATCCGTCTTCTCTACTATGAAATGCTCAAACGAAATCGTTTTAATAATATTTATTTATAGATATTTATAATTTATCTGTTCATATGGATATTCATATGGATATTTTACTTTTGTAAACATATTTATACTAAAGGTACTTTAATTTTATAAGTAATTACTATAAATGTATATATTACAATTGTTAAAATCGCGATGTGCAAGAAGCCCTACCCTGATCTAATACATAAAAAATCTGAAAAAACTGTTACTACTCACAGGTACAAAAAGTACCCGCGGTCACTATGCTCATCAAAAATTCTACGTATACAACCAGTCACTCGTGCCGATTCGGACCTTTCATCCTACGACATGGTTGAGTGACCGGAGGAACATAAATGCATGCGACTCACGGGATGGATGTGAGGAACGTTATCACCGATGCTGCACTGAAGCAGAGAAAGTTATCTTGAAGATTTTCATCAAGTAGAGAACCACTGGGACTCCCATGGTAGAAGTGAACTCCGTGAAAAATTTCTTAAAAAACACAAAACATTTTCTTTCTAAAGACACAGTATTATTTGTGGTAAGTAATTTAAATTTTAATAATGATAAAAATTGGAATCATTTAAAATGTTTTTGTTTCATAATTATAATTTTACATTCATCTGTAGTATATTACATTCAATTGTAGTAGTTTATAAGTATAATTTTACATTCAATAATAGAAAGAGAACTAAAGAGAATAAAATTTGAATACAACATGCTAAAGTACTTACGTTTTTAACTTTTGAAGCTCGTAAGATTCTTACAGGATCAGGGAAAGTGGAGACTCTAGAAGATCTGTAACAAAACATTAAACATTAGAATTTATATTTAAAAGCAAAATCTTAAGTTGGAGGTAATGAAAGATTCTTACATTATTGACTTTAGAGCCACCGTTGGATTTTCCCCAAAAAATGCAAAACTTGATGCTGTGAAGCGTCTGTAACAAACATCAAACATTATACTTTGTTGTCAAAGTTGAAAAATTGAATAAATTGAGATAGAATACATAAAACTACTTACTATCTTGATCTCCAGGAGAGATCTTATCCTCTTGAGCACTGACTCTAACAGCGAAACCGAATATTGAACAGAAGAAAATACAAAAAAAGAAAAATAAAAGACTATCAACGCGCGCGTTTGCAGACTCACTGACTCTAACTTCGCGAATTACAATTTGAATGGATTGAATTAATTAATTTAATGAGAGCCATTTTGCTCAGAAAAATATAAAAAAAATTTCGCAACAAACACTAACTCTACCAACCACATTGCGCACGGTCATAAAAATTTTCTGAAATTCAACAACCGAATAAAATTACTATTTTAATTATTAAATACGTACATTCTTAATAAATTATTGAATTTAGTATTAGAATTGTTAAAAATTACGCAGTATGGAGTTAAAGAATCAATAAATAAATAGAAAATAGTTATAAAAGAAGAGTGTGTGTAAAAGCATATAATAAAATAAATAAATATATATATATGTAACAATAAATCAATCAATTACAAGATTACAATATTTGTAATGGTTAGAATTGAAATTAAATTTTGATATAAAATTATAAATAACTTTTAGCATAATATATTCTGTTCAAACGTTTATATGCGATTATTTCTTTAATTGTTGAAAATTATATGTCATAATTATTTGGTTAAATCTTACCTTGTCTTGAAGCCAAAAATGTACGTTTTATCTTAAAAATACAAAATACATACACAAAATCTAAAAACTATTGATTTATATTTTATATTACTCGAAAATATTTGAATAATACCTCTTTCTGGATAATTGTTTTGGAAAATACTTTCTTCTTCACAGATGAGGTGTCACTCCTTTCCGCCATGTTTGCCGCTGAAAAATCGATCATGAGAAATATCGATTAGAGTCCGAGAATCACAGGAAGTATATTGCGTGTTTCATCGTTGGGGCGCTGTAATCGCGTATTTCGCAGGGAATGAATAACTTGGAATAAAAAATCAAACACAAAATTCATAAGAAATTCTTAAAAAAGAACAAACAAATTCACACACTCGACGAAAAATTGTCAATACTTTAAACTGGGACATGAGGAATTTTATTATATTACGCACTAAAACTATTATTTAGGTTATTAAATACGTACATCCTTACTAAATTACTGTTGAATTTAGTAGTCGAATTAAGAATTACACAATATAAGGTTAAAGAATCAACAAATGAATAGAAAATGTCACAATGGAAATAAAAGCATATTATGTATATATATAATAAAAAGGCATATTACAAGATCACAATATTTGTAATGGTTAGAATTGAAATTAAATTTTGGCATAAAATTATAAATAACTTGCAGCATAGTGTGTTCTGTTTAACCATTTATATGCTATTATTTCGTTAATTGTTGAAAATATAAATATAACTTGTATTATTTGGTTAAACCTTACCTTGAGTTGAAGCCAAAAATGCACGTTTTATCTTAAAAATACAAAATACATATACAAATCTAACTACTATTGATTCATAGTTTTATCTAAGAACTTTTAGATAATACCTTTTTTTAAGTGATTTTTCTGAATAACACTTCTTTCTTCACAGAGGAGATGTGATGCTATTTTCCGCCATGTTCCCCTTTTTAAAAATCGATCGTGAGAAATATCGATTTCGTTCGAGAATCGTAGAAGGTGTATTACGCGCCGTGTAGCTATAATAGTTAAATAATTTAAACTTAATACGCGCGCTTAATTTCGAATCTAATTTGGAATATAAAATAACAATGCTTATAGAAATATTTATTTGACACGTCCAATCCTTTATATAGAATAACTTTTAATTTTCTATTGGCAGATATATCAGCAATTAGTTTCACCTTTTCGCCACAACGTGGCGCTAGTGTTTCTCACCCCGTAAAACAGTGAAATTTTCATTTGCGAAAAAAATTAATTTAGAGAATTAAATTACAAACTTTTATTATTTTGTCTTGTTAACTGGATGCCCAGCTTTCTTTTTATGCCCTATTTGAGACATAAAATGAGCAAATAAAAATTGTTTAAAATAATTAGTATGCCTTGCTTGCCGACAGATGGCGTCACCATACCCAAACCGAGTGAGTTGCACCAATTTGAAAAAAACCGTAATTAAGAGGAATAATTTGTCAAGTTTTGAAATTGTGTCATCCGTTTAAGACTCTTAGTTTTTGTTGTATGTTCTACGGTTCAAAATGTAATAATAAATATTTTTAAAATTCATCATCGTTAGATGGGATAGCCAAGACGGTAAGTGCTACTTAGTGCTTATATGAATATTTTGTATTTTTTTTTTTGTATGTATTTTTTTTTTTTTTGTATCTCTTTGTGCCTTACTGGGAGCAAAATCTGTTTCTAGTCAATCTCTAAACTATTATTATTCTTCTTTAAATATTTCTGATTACAGGGGCACTTAGTCTCAACGCACTTAACCTTAAATCATGGATTTTTCCACTCAGTATGTTCTTTCCAAAGCTCAGCGATCACAATTCCATACATCAGAACGAGCAATTATATTAGACTCCATCTAAAAGTACTTGGATTCAAGCATACATTGTTGAAATTAGCAACTTATTGGCTCGTTGAATATCAGATTTATATCTACAACTTATTAAGGCTAAGTTTGCTCATACCAGGACAGTAAGCACACAGTTGACAAGTTAACTGACTACGGAAGTGAATATCAAATCTCATTCTCTGGAAATTCGACGAATCATTTCTAAATCCAAATGCATGTATGTGTATCTGTAACGTGTTCCTTATTCCACACTCCCGCATTCTTGAAGAGCTTGCTAGACAAAATATTAAACTAATTTTCCAGATCACTTCTATTAGAGCAACTCTAAATGATCCAGGATATGCACACATCTTGAGCTTTTGTTGTAAGATGTATATCCAATCCAAAGACATTCCAAACATACCTAAATCCACATAAATTATGATAATACATCTTACTGGATATATCTGTCAACAGAAAAAGTATTAAAAGTTATTCTATATAAAGGACTGGACGTGTCGAATAATTATTTCTATAAATATTGTTATTTTTTATCCCGAGGTAGTTTCAAAACGCGCGCACATTGGGATTAGACTAGTAAACGATTACAGCGCTACTACACGAAGAAATACGTAATACACTTCCTACGATTCTCGAACGAAATCGATATTTCTCGAATGATCGATTTTTAGCGGGAAGCATGGCGGAAAGTAGCACACCATTTGTAAAAAAAGAAAGTGTTTTCCAGAAAAATCAAAAGAAAGAAGACCAAAAGTTCTCAGGTAAAAATATAAATCAATAGTTGTTAGATTTGTGTATGTATTGTGTATTTTAAAGATAAAACGTACATTTTTGACTGAAGGTAAGATTTAACCAAATAATTGTTAGATGTTATATTTATAATTTTCGACAATTAACGAAATAATAGCATATAAATGTTTAAACAGGACACACTATGCTGAAAGTTATTTATAATTTTATACCAAAATTTAATTTCAATTCTAACCATTACAAATATTATTGATCTTATAATATGACTACCTTTTTATTATATATATACATAATATGCTTTTATTTCTATTGTAACATTTTTTATTCATTTGTTTTTTATTCATTAATTCTTTAATCTCATACTGCGAAATTCTTGACAATTCAAATATTAAATTCAACAATAATTTATTGAAGATGTACGTATTTAATGATTAAAATAATAATTCTCATTAAGCCAATAACCTCCAAAATATGGGACACAAAAAAGCATTGGATGTCGGTCTATCCTAGTTATTGAATGATCCGTGTTATATATTTATATTATAAAATTACCATTGTTATTAATAACATAAAAACTAAATACATGTATATCTTCAATTAATTTTTTATTTAAATTATTTTTTATACACGCTGTACAATTGTAATTTGTTTTAACAAATATAAGTTACATAACATGAATTACTTGAAATTCATGTGTAGGCTGCTGTATTTGTCTCTTCTGTTTAAGGTAATTATACCAATCAACAAAGCAGCAATAAAATATAATATCCTCTTTGTCTATATCCTAGAAATCATAATAAATTCTTTACATTGCTATATCATCTTCTATAATTTATTATCTTTATTAAAATCAAGGAATAAAGAATAAATTATTTGCATTTGATGCTATTGCAATCACATATTTATTTAAAACAGAGATTTGTACAATTTAAAATCTGTCTTGAAATCTGTATGTTCACAGACCAAGTATATATTTTGTCTATGGCTGTGGTTTTTAAATAAAGAAATATTATCAACAGTAGGAAATTAATCGAGTATATTGAATGTTGGTTTCATAGATGGCGGAAGAATTAAATCACAAACAAGATATGCGTTATATTCGATCCAGCAAAGATCATTTGAAACAGAAAGAAATTAAACAACTTTTAAACATTAGACTGTTGATAAAATCTTGATGAAAAGAATTAGAAATGAAAACAATAATTTATATTTTATCTTTGTTCTGTTAGTTAATATCATACGGTAAAATATAATTATAGAAGAGTACGAATTTATTTTTACTTACTAATGTCGCCGACACTTTTAAAGAAGGAAATGTGTCTAATGTAGGAATTGGATCCAATTCTCCAGGTACTTCTTGTTCTTTTGTTTTGGGTCTTCTATCTTCTCTGTCTTGATCTTCCATCGTATCATCAGTTCTCGTTTCAGAATCAGTAACTTCAGAATCGTCAATTTTTCTTTGCTTTTTTATCTACAAATAGTTAAAAATAGTTCTTAAAGAACCAAAGAAACTTTGATTATCAATTATTATATATTATTGAACTATAAATTATATATTATTGTACTATAAATATGATTTTCATTTTATTTTCGTTTCGTGTTTTACTAAATAGCAAATTCGTTAATAGTAACGTACCCAAAGACAATAATCTAACAAAATCCAACCTTGTATGAGGTACATGCTCATACAGAAGATGGACATCAAACACATGACAAAATTATGAATAAAAATTGGGTGTTCTAGCAATTCTTCGTCAGTGACTAAAGTTATGTCGAGATACCAATCTACGTGCTTCATTTCGATTATTCCAAGTGTTAACATTAGACTAGCAGCCACGAAACATCCAATAAGAACCTGCGTGTATTCGTGTTAAATATCTTGTACACAATTATTAATTTTAAATGTTATTGCATTATAAATAGTGTTACGGACAACATATAAAAATGCAGGATTACTAACAATTCTCGGATCTTTCATAAAGAAGTCCGTGAAAATCCAAATATTTGCGAATATTAGGCTTGCGAGCATGCACAAGAAATAGATTAAAAATATTGGATTTGCTTCTTCGGGCACGTGAGGAACGGATTCATCTTCTTTCAAAAACTGTCTATTCAGATGATGATGGATGTGATGGAAAAGTATTATTGCGAGCCCGATAATCTACACAAATTTCCTATAATTACAAACATAATTGAAGATACAGGGAAACACAAATAACATATAATTTAAACATATTTTTTCCATTCATTAAATGAAATATGATAAATGGAATATTTTTTGCTCATTATTGTTTCATCTGTCGATGACCAGCACTAAATATTGTTTCTTATTTATTATATCATTAACTACAGTATTCTTTGTAATACATCCGACAGTGTTTGTTGTAAAAATCATGATTTCTGTTTCTCCTTGAGCTATTAAGAGCTGGCTAGGAATGAAAATTTCAAAGATTCTTCGGCCACGCATACCACGATTTTATGAAATTCAAAGTAGTTGATGTACTCACTGATTTATTAATTAAATTATCTTGTTGGTCCTGAACTCTACCGAGTTCATGTGGAAAATTAAAACGAACGAAACACTCTGTCTTATCTTCGAATCGTGTAAAATTTCAATCGTGAAAAAGCAGAGGAGAAAGAAAAGAGATAGAATGAAATCGAGCGCTGACACGCAGCTTTTTCACGTTGGCGCGTGACGAGATCTCGTTCTCGATTACGTAACAATAACAATATAAAAAGCCCTCGTTGATACATCGTTGAATCATCCTCGCGACATTTTGCTAACACAAGAGTCGTACCGTGAAAATAGGTCACACGATTGCGCGTGTGTTCACGCGTGTGCCTTCGATTCGCACTTCCTGCTCGCAACTAGACACTCTTGGCTCTAAACAACGATTTAAACAATACGCAACGTGCGATAATACGTGATTGGCTAGCGAAATTGGATCGAGCATGAGCGTTGATCAAAGAGGAAGACGAGGAACGACTCGAGTCACCGGGTAATATTTGTGTTATTGGAATAAACGTGGTTACATTTCATAAATATTTTTGCATTCTTCGATCGTGTCGTTTTAACCGAGTTTTCGTGACACTTTCTCGCTGCTTTGCGAAATTCTCTTTCATCGCGAACTAGATAAACGGGACCTACTGAGTTGAGATAGCGTTCTAGCATTTGTGTGAGAATAAATTCTTCTCTTTAATAATAAACTTTTAATTATATTTAATTATATTTATTAATATATTTAATTATATTATTAAAAGTTATTATTATTAAGATATTTTTTAATTACAATAGAATTTTTACATATAATTTTTATTCTATATATAATTATATATATCTATATAGATTATGATTGTTTTTTATATTTTTAATACTTATAGTATGTGAAAGAATTTTAGGATTATTATTATTAATTAGTACAAATTATGAATTTGGTCATCAAAAAATGAAATTTTTAAATTTAATGTTTTAAAATGGTTGAATTAATTTTTATAATTTATTTAACAATAATAGTTTATTTATTTGATTTTATTATTTTAAGAAATTTAATTTATCTAATTATAATTTTTTTTTAAATTTTAATATATTAAATTGAAGAATAATTTTTTTTAATTTTAGTTTAAATTATTATTCTACTGGATTAATCATTATAATAATTTTAATTTTTAGAATTATTATTATAAATTTAAATTTTATTAATTTAAAAAATTATTGTTTATTATTAAAGAGAGTGGAATTACGAGTAGGAAATTGTATAAGTAATTATTAACTCTTTTCGAATTAAAAAATAAATGTTCTCAATGAGTTATTAACAAGTATAATATTGTTCTCAAATGCCGTGTAATGAAATATCGTTTATGTCGTGAATGTTGTATAATTTTTCTACAGGGGAATTTTAAAAAGTCGTAGATTATTTCGTATTTTTCTGTAATTGCCGAAACATTTTCTTTCTCAAAATGATATGTGATCTCTGAATTTAATGATACGTATACGTATATTTCACAACAGTAATAAATACTCGTGTCATTTTACAATGTTGTATGTCGAATTTCCGAGAATAAATAATGTAAAAAAAAAAAATGAAAGAAATGGTTATGTTAACACGGTGAGCTTACGAATTGAAAAATGTGCAGGCCAGCGTGAACCACATGAGAGAGATTCTTGTTCCGTTCGAATTTCACTCTGTCTCTATGATAAATACTGGCGATTTTTGCAATTTCGCGAAGTTTCTCCAAAGCTTTTTCGTCATCCGCGATTTTGTTCGACATTTCTTCTTTCGACGATACAAATAACAGAATGGACGGGTGCCATTAATTCAGGTGCCAGATAATTTTATTCGCAATGAATATATGAATCGTGGTCAATATATTGATAGTCTGCTACGTTCATTGACCACATGTTGGCATTCTGCATTATTCATTAGGTACTATATTACTATATTTTTCATAGCTGAATGAAAAACAAGTCACTCTGTTGTTAAATTAATTATATACGCACAAGTTTTCTTTCTCAAATGTAATAATGGGAGAAAGTGAAAGAAAAGAAGGAAGATGTATTCTCTTCTAAAGCATATTTCCCCACTTGTATTTTATATTTATCACGCTACAAGTAGATGTTCCCGATTTCTGATCCAATTTACTGAATATTTATCTCGTTTCGCTATATTTCTACTCTCAAATACCAATAAATTTCCAGGTCGTTCAATCTTATCTCTTTCATATAATAAAATTTCATTTATTCGTTTTACGTACACGTGATTGTTACTCTGATATTATTATTTCATATAAAAAAAGAACATTTTCTTATCATCTGAAAAAAGTAGTTTCTTCTTAAGGGAATATTGATCATCTAATACTTTATCATCTATCTTTATCTTAAATTATGTTTCTACGCGCGAATGTAACACACAATTATCACAAACAATTGTCGAAACACGCTTAATCACCCAAAGAACAATTAATACTGTTGGCAAGTTCATTTACTGTTCCACAAAGCTGTTTCAATATTTTCCTATTAAGAGCAAGATCAGATCAATGAATATCAGATCTCATCGTGAAGAAAGGAGTAACTGTACTTCACAAACGAACATATTCATGCTCATGAATGGATAATGATGACATAGAAACAGTATCTAACACCATTCAATCTTCTCTTATGCTCAATCTCCGCATCTCACGCAGTTTCGACAATAAACCCATTCAAATTCCACAGCGTGTCCGTTTTAACCAGAAATGTTGAAAGCTCTGATGGACCAACATAACTTTCACAAATCAAGATGCAAAGAAACTTGTTTCTGCTTTTTTATGATGCATCAATATATATTTCCCTGAGCAGTACTCAATGTACTTCTAAGCCGCGGATTTTTATTATGCGTATGTAGGAAATTTTAAAGTGCAAAATTATACAAGTGTGTGCATCAATATCAGGAAACACATAAAACACGTAAAATGCTGATAAAGATAATCTTTGAGATTTGAGGATAATGTGTTTGCTTGAAACACAAGCAACATGGGAAAATAATACTAGCAATTTGAATTCAATTCGAAGATCGAGAATCTGTTGCCATGTGCGCTATACATACTTTCTACAACATTTAGTATGTAAAACAATTTTCCACCGAAATTCTGTTACTTGAAAATTATATTCGCATAAACAAATCCACTAGTTATTAATCACCTTAGAACGCCATATACTCATTCTGCCTGAGAACACCTCAGACATCTCGATTATTTCTCTTTTTATCCATCACTTCATTTCTCATGATTCTTTTCCCATCGTCGCGTGTTTGAATCATCTTTCAAAAATTTTCCAAGTATCCGCGACGTTTCGAAAGCATCGACAAAAAGCAAAGCGCGACGACAGCCCTTTATAGATTCTGATTCCAAGTAGAAATAGCTTTTATAATGAAAGCGAACACTTTATACCGTCTCGTAACAGGCGTACGATCAAGTTCGAGTGTGCAGGTTGCGCCACAAAAATTCCAAAATCATTTCCTTCTTCAAAGTGAGATCGAAGGGGCAGTGTCATATATACAGCGAATTGAAAACTCGCGCTTCCGATTCTCGGAACGATTAAGAATAGGTTTAATTGCTATTAGAAAGTAGCGAGAACCGTCACTTTGTTCGTTTCATATCTATCGAATTCCTCCGTCCCGAAACTTTTACTTTTTATTGGGGTTTGATATTTAGGCTGAAATTTAGGATTGTGATCACGAAAGAATTATGTAAATGGTAAAGGTTTTATTGACTGTTACTATCAGTTTCCAGCATTGATAAATTCTATGGCGTAAGATATGTGAATTTTCAAGAACTTTAAGCCAGTCGATTATTTGGCATGATATTATGAGAAATCATAATTTGTCAATTCTCAGTTCATCAGTGCAATTAATAGTTGGTCAGTTATTGTCCTTTAATTTCCCAAATAGTCGAGCTTAATATCGTGTATAAATTTAAACCAAAGAAATATATAGAATATATTTAACAGTGAAAATTGCAACAGAAATATTCTTCGCCGTGAATATTCTTCGTCGTGTAAATTGTTTCATCAATGATACTGGGAAACAATGAAAATCCATATTTATTTCATATCATGACGCAAGAATCAGATAATGAGAGTCTTTACGCAATCCTTGTAATTTATCGCGCATTCTTGACTATAATGAAAAGAAAAACTGTATTTTTTTAAATTCCTTGCGGAATGATTAAACTCCATCAACAGCTGGGGTAAGAACACCGGAATATACCGTACTTGTGGCTCATCAATGGCGCCATAGTTCCTTTCTCCGTCATCTGAATAACCTTGACGGTCCCCTGCTGGAGAAAAATCTATTTTTTCGAAATTCTACCAGCATTTCCGAGTAAATAAATCGATAGCGTGGATGCAACGTTATGAAGAATTATGAGAATTCTATGAAACGATTTACGGAAGAATGGAGCGATAATCAAAAAGAAAATTTGAGCAATTTTCAACAAGTGAACGATTTGAGAATCCATTCCTGTATTGATTAATGTAAAGATATTTGTGGAACGTAAACTGCAAATAAAATCAGGACGAAAGCACTTGTATTCTTACTGAAGCAAAAATCCTGCGTCTTTTCGCATGTGTGGTTTACACCCTTCGAGATCGGGATCGGAATCAACAAAGTTTACGTAGCAAGTTATCTCACCCTCGTATCTCACCATCGAAGGGTAGAAAAGGGTTGTTTGTACTTCTCATTGAAGGAAATATCAACAAAGAAACGTGCTTGACATAAGCAATGTTTTCATGGTATCAAAGACGTGCTCGCAATAATATTTCCGGCTAATATCGAAGGAAAGAGAAATTCCAATCTTTACCGATATAATCACGATGGTCTCGTAACGCTGCTAATGAAATTCCAAAATGTTTAACACACGTGGTATTTTCACCATCCCGTATATGTAGTTGAATTTAACATTTATTAGAAGAAAGTCGAATAATCCATGTTTTAGTAAATTTTAGAAAATTCCTATTATTTTAATAACACTTGTTATATTATTTTATTAAATTCCTATTATTTTATTAATACTTGTTATATTATTTTATTAAATTCCTATTATTTTATTAATACTTATATAGCTTATA